TGCTCTCTGCTGTAAGGAGTCATTATCCTGCTCCTTACACAGGCAGGAGATGATCAGACGATGACATGGAATTCACATGCAGTTTGTTTTACTGCTGAATCAAAAGACAAAACCAGATTCCCTCCTGAAATATTATTTCTAAGTTGCAGCTGTAATCAGAAAATCCAATGATTAAAGCAAGGGTTAGAAATGCTGTGCTCCTTCCATAGAGATAACATGTACTTTGGCCCTCACACTTGTCCCATCACATCTCAAAAAGCACTTTCCTCATTTGTGCTACACCCACTTTTGCTGTCGTTCCCCATGAATTACCCCTAAGGGTTATACCATCCCATCTCACATTTACTCAAAGGAGATCATCAGCCCTGACTGTAACAACTGCTATAGTCATTCTCTGAAAGAGGCTGGATGACTCCTGCCTGAAATATTGGTGACTGCCTGGAGTCCTGCCTGCTGCTGCCTTGTTCCCTCCTTCCATGTGAGTTTCTCAGTCAGGGAAGGGAATCCCTGGGAATTATAGCAGAGAATATTTGCTCAGGGCCACGATTTAGCAGAGGGTGGTGAGAGTTAGGGTAGGATGGTTGGGTTGTGTTGGGACTTGATGATCTTTAAGGTCTTTTCCTACCTATTCTATCATTCTATGAAGTCTGCATCATAGCTACAATCTATGTTTCTCATTTTGAGTTCTCACATTGGGAATAATGTTATGGCTGGAGACAGGTGATCTACTGCTTTCTGTAGAGTTTGTTCCTCTTTACTACCCTGCCAGTGTATTAGCAGTACAGTCATTGCTATTAGTTGTAGAAACAGTGTTACAAGGTGTTGTAAGGTTGTTCAGCTTAATGCCTTCTACAGATTCAATGAAAAACTCTTCCTGTGAAGATCTTAAAGCCTTCACAGTCTGGATTACAAAGGGCAGGAGATATTTCTTATATTCAATCACCATGAATTCAGCCAAGAAATGTATTAACTTTTTAAAGAAAAAAATGCATTTACACTCTATTGCATCATAGCTACATTTTTTTAAGGTAAGATTTCCACTAAGATATATGGTGAGGCACTTAACTGAGTGGCCAAACATAACTATGTGTAAAATGAAATAATATACCTGCATTTAAAAACATACAGTGAGATCCTCAGCTGAGTTTAATCATTATCTCCATGATGGTATCAGTGTGGGTTTCTGTGCATTTAAAAGAAAATCATGGGCGCAATATCTCAATTATGTAGTTAACCTTCTGGTTATATTAATTAGTGATGATTAGACAAGGGGAACCATAATTATTTCATGCACATAACAACCCTGTGAAATTGTATTGTGCATCTGAACACAAAAGGCAACGTGAGCGCCTCGCCTGGTGCATTTCTCAGGTCTCTCCAAAGAGCCGTGACTCAACCAGCAGTGTAGGCACTGTGCTGGACAGGCTGGTTTTCCTGAGGCATCTGAGGAAATGGTATCAGGAAGGAGGACTCAGAGCCAGTAGAGCTCCCTAACACTGTCCTCGTGTCTTATTTAAGGCTTAAGTTTCTCACCAGGAAGAACAAAGTAAAGCCAATCTCAGCTTCTATCCCAGTATCTCTGAGTTAAGTCTGAGATACCTCACAAGTAAAACCTCAATGGGTAGTTAATGGCATGAGGAAGGAGTCCCCAGTTCCACAGTGGGAGGTTTAGATTGGGTGTTAAGAATTTCTTTGTAAAGTGAATGGTCAAGAAGAAGGAAGAGCTTCCTGGGGATCTATTGGAGTTACCATCCCTGGAGGCAGTTAGGAGATGTGTGGAAGTGGCAGTAAGGGATGCCATTTAATGGTGGGACTTGTAGGTCAGGTTAATGGTTGCATTTGTTGGTATTGAAGGTCTTTCCAACCCACATGATCCTATGGTTCTATTCCTGCCATCCAGATGGCAGCATCTTGCTCTGCTTTAGAAGAACAAGTGTAGATGAACAACACAGAATTTCCATTATAATTTGTCCCTTAAGGGTGAATGTCAAAAACATTTTAAAGGAAAAAAATAAAAACTTCAATTGAACATTCTACAAATGTCAGATTGAGTCTTTCTAAAGCTGCCAGCACTCAGGTATGTGTGTATTCTGGTTTGCACTGCCAGCTGCTTAGTGGCTGTATTCCAGGTTGTTATTATTATCATTATCAGTATCATAAGTAGCTTGGCTTTGAAAGCCTGACTTGTAAATCTGACATTCGTAAGTCTGGGAAAGTTTACAAACTTTTTCATCTAGATTCACAGATTAATTATTTGATGTATTCTTTTAATTCTATGGTTCTATCAGCATTGGACTCTGGTACAACATGGACTATAGTTATGTATTGTTTTGTAGAATTTATAGCTCTGGAGTCTTCAATGGATCTTCTCTAAGCTATCAGATCACTTCACAGTAAAGCAGGTTAGTAGAAAACTCTGTCTCATAGGGAACCAATTTCTGTGAGGCCTTGGGCACACCATGGCCTGTGCAAGATGTCACTACCTGGCATTGATTCACGGGACCAAAGGCACATGTATCTTTGCAGGATGTAATGCTGTAGGACTTTGATAAGCAGTACATTCCATATTTTAGTTGATCAAACTCTTCCCTAATATTTTCTAACAGCATTTGGTAAGCAGCTGCTTCCTAATACATTTCCAATTCAGTCTGGCTTTCAGAATGAAATTTCTGTTGAAAGTTTCTTAAGTGTATTCTTTTTCAACTTGAAGTTTGTTCAATATAATGCTATAGAAGCAATTCTTGCAAATAATTCATTTCAAGAGACTTGTTTTTCTTTTGCTCTTGGCAGTGGTTTTGACAAGAGTGACAGCACAAAACACAACAGAAAGTTGTAAACATTTTTTTTCTTTAGACAGAGAGCTCCTAAATTTCCACCTAAATGGGGAACCAAGCCACTCTGCTTTCATAAGCTCTGGTCCTTGCCTAATCCCATGGTTGCAGTGCATGCACGAATTAAGCATAATGCTGCTGCTATTCCAGCCAGTGCACTTGGGTGTAGGGGTGCTGATGCTTTTGAGGTATGTCAGTAGGATGGGGCTGGGTTGTTTCCTGTTGTGCTGGGCATGTGATCCTGGGCAGTGTGCTCCAGGTGACCCAGCTTGAAGCACAGGACTTGGACTGGATGATCCCAAATGGTGCCTTCCAACCTTAACCATTCCATGGTTCTGGCATCCTGCGAGGTCAAGAGCTTTGCCTGCAGGCTCTGCTTGGTGCTACACAGGAGTGACAACCTGGGGGCAAAGATCCCCAGATTATGTGTCCTGATCACCACAGCCATCTGAAGAGCCACCAGCAGAAGATTAAATACCTGAAGGAAGGTGCTTTTCATTACCTCACAATTCTTTTTTGGCCTTCAGTTCTATTTGCAGCACGAGCAAGGCAGCACCAACTGACACACAACTCCTGACACCAACAAAAAGCTTGCCGTGTTCTGATAATGAGCACGAGTCTTCCCTTTGCCACCGTCCACATTTTCCCTTTCCTGGCACATTAATCTCTTGTTTCTAACTTCACTCAGGTCAGAAATTGGGAACAGACAGAGCAGAGTCAGGCCCCTTCTCCAGTCTTGAAGACAGTAAACATGATCCATATCAATTGATACTCCAAAAACTCCATTTTCCCCCAAACCCCAAGTTGCATTCAAGTCACACCATCTCAGCAAACCACCAAAATTTGCCTTGTTCTTCCCTTTTGCAGCTGGGCTACTGGTCATCCACTGCCTTCTGCTCCCTCCTGCCTTAGCCGGCTGCATCAACGTTGGGTGCAGCACAGAAGGCAGCAGCCTGTGCTGCTGGTGGGGACAGGGATGCGTTAAATGAAGGAAGCGGCAGAAGGTGAGGGATGCACATACCTGCAGGGCTTTTCTTTAGAGAAAGAGGCAAGAGTAGGTTTTTTAAATAGTGAGCATTTTAAGAAAAATATAGGACGCTCCAAACCTTGACTCCATCTTTGCATGCTTAGTTACCTCTCAGTGCAGCAGAGGGCTGTTCTTGGGTGCTATGAACTGACTTTCAAAATGAACTGAAAAGAAGCAGAGTTAATTCCCACAGATAAGATTCTCTAACACCCAAAAGCCAGCAGGAAGCTCAGAGTTATTGCTATCTCTGCTGGGACTCAGCACAGAGCCATAAGGGAGCTTCAGCCTCGCAGTGTGGAGCACCCCTTGCACACATGGCTGTGATTGCACTGAGCACTGCTGCCTCAGTGAGCCATCTGCTACACGCTGCTCTGCTTGCCAGCGTCCCTTCCTTGCAAACTCATTAACCACACAGATGCGCTCAATGTGCTGGAACAGAAATGAGAATGGGAGTAATGAGAACAATTCTCCTGCTAAAAGAACTGCTTTCTACATCTGTTCTTTGACTGCACCTTCCCCTGCCCGGGTGCAGCACAGAGGCAATCTCTGCAACTGATCTCAAACTTTACAAATGGAGGGATTATGCACTACAGATACTGACAGCTTTGCTCACAGCCTGGCAAACACCACAGCTTTCATCTTCTCTCCGCAATAAAGTCCATCAATCTTATTCACACACCAGCCCATTCCCCTCTGCCCCTCAGACAGAGCTGGAAGAGAAACCTTCCTTGGGAAGGATGCTGAAATCTTTCCTCCTCCTTGTCCTCCCATTTTAACCGACCCTTTTGGCCAGCCTCCCATCAAAGTCAGGTCAACACGCATCCGCTTGCTGTGCTGAGCTGACCAGTTTTCAATAACAATTTCTCCTTTGTTTCGTAACCGAGATCAATAAAACTGCCCCTCTCTCATATTGGCCAAGATTCCAGCAACGTCATTCGCTCCTTATTGTTGCTACTGCTTCATTCTATTTCCCTCCCCCCTCCCCCCCTTTTTTTTTTTGGCAAGGCACAGATCAATTTAACAAGATGAAAACGACTTAGAGTTTCACTCAAGGTAAAATCTGCACTTTATAACCCAGGATGTAATTTACAATCCTGTCATTAAGCTCTGTTAATCCTATTATTATGAAGATAAATAATTACCCATAGCGAAGAAAGGGATTCCCAACAGAGTAGAATTATATTTTCCATCAGTAATGAAAAATATCCCTGCCGCAGTGACACTGGAAATACAGATAGTGAGTACTCCCAAGAGTCCCAGGAAAGGTTTGCTACGCAGGCAGTCCTTCATGGAGCTCGAGAGGGTAGCAGTCAGGAGGATCAGCATCAGGCTCACCAAAATCTTGCCCCTGGCCAAGAGACTGGTCTGGTGGAAGTCCTTCCAGAGGCTGAAGGACGCCAGCGAGTAGAGCTGCAGATCTTGGTGATCCAGCTGCATCTTGTGCATCAGTTTACAGAATTCACTCTCCCACTTCTCCCCAATGAGGTCCTGGGTGACAGAGCCATACGTTTGGAGGTAGTAAGTGATTTGGATGGCTCTGGCTGATTTGACTCTCTGGTCCTTGCTGTTGGGCACTTCCATGACCCCTCCAAGCTGGTGGCCAATAAAACTGCTCCTTCCATCCTGGGAGGGAAAGTAAAAAGATGAGCATGTGGTTATCCTGCGCAAGAGGTATCACAGCGATACTGATTGGCTCTGCCTTTCTGTCACAGACAGGCTGAGAGCTTGACACAAAGGCCACTGCATTCAATAGGAGCCATGCCTTTCACTTCAGTGGGCTTTTGGTCACGTCCCTGTGCCTGCCACATCTCTCTCTTTGTTTCTCACTCATTACATTCTCACTTGCAATTCTGTGCTGCAGTTCAGGGACTGCCCAGATATCCACTGCAGTCCCAGACGCTCGGGGACCAAAATGTTGCATGCAAGCTCCTCACCCCAAGGGAGAAAATCATTTTTCCACATTTTAACTGTGACAGAAAACAACAGAAGTTTGCTGTAAGGATCAGTTTCTGGAAGACTCGCTATTTCCTGACACTCAGAAAACTGCCTCAACAAGTTGGAAATGTACAGAAAATGAGGCCGGAGGTCCTCAGTACAGATGAAAATGTAGGTGGATCCACAAAGTTTGATGGTTACTCTGTCTCTAGAACAACATCATTAAAATCAGACTTTGAACTGCTTGTTTGAGATTTCACGGATTTCTATTGGAGATACAGAAGTAGAAAGTACCTTAATCCTTGATTTAGCTATAATTATATACATACATCTTTCAAGAATATAAAACATATCTGGTCTTACTTATTTCAGTGCATGCTAGGACATAAAGACTCCATGACAATCAATGAAGGACACGTGTGGTGTACACAGAATCAGCCCCCATCTATTTGCCAGATCAGACCATTCTTTTGTTGACTTGTCTGATCCCATTTAATTTTTTTTTCTGTCTCTTTGTTTGCTTGTTTTTTTTGTTTTTTGTTTTGGTAAGGTTTTTTTGTTGTTGTTGTTGTTTTGGTTTGGTTTGACTTTGAAACAATAAGATTTGTTAGCCACTGGTTATTCTAGTTCTGTAGAATAACTGTGATCTGCCCCTTTCAATCAGGGGAAACTCATGTGGATTTAAACTATCAAACCTCATTGCAAACTGAGGAAGAGAACCCAGTAGATTGGATAAAAATGTCCTAACACAAGTAGTCTTTTTGAGCAAAATAACCCAAAAGCCAGGGATTAAATGCCTGCTGCGCACCAAATAACAACATTTCATGGTTTTTCCCCCTCCTAATTGGATTAAAAGTTCTCAGTTTACTTTTGTGCTTAATGCAAATATGTCTAAAATTCTCAAAATATGCCAAACATTATGCAGCAGTGAGGTCATGTGAGACAATACTCTGCAAAAAATGGGAATGAGCTTCAGCTTGGGAAATGCTCCACCCTACACACACATGGAAGGAACCACCTGCAACCCCAGAAGCGCCTGGGGAAGGTGTCAAACATCGACCAAGCCCTACATTAACCATTTCTAGAGACAGCTTCCTCTCAATGCTGCGTTTTCCATCCCAAGGAAGAAGCAGAGAAGCACGGTACCAGGTTTCATGAAACTCAGTTGTGGTACATCTGCTCACAGAGCCCATAAATATCAGAAACTGAGAGACACTGCTCAAAATGCACAACAAACCCACCTCGTCTTGTCTCTGGTACACAAGCAGGCAGTTCTCCCCCTGAATTTCCTGACTACGCCTGCTTGAAGGCAGGAGCTTATGCTGCTTCCAGCATGTGCCCAGGGAACACGACAAAGTGCTTTTCAGAAGTCCATTTTTTTCCTATTCCCAGTTGTTATTTCCTATTGAAATAATGGCTTCTGGCGAGGTATTCTGGCACCAGCCAACAGACAAGGTGATTTGCAGTCTGATGCCAGCTTCTCAAATCACCTGAAGCCTCATTAAAATCATCATCTAGGCAGAAGCTGCTGGTTGGAGGGGCAGCTGGTGCTCTTCAGGACCAAAAAATCCTCCTCTCTGCCTTCATCGTACTAGAAACCTATTTTAATTCATTATTCCTACTTCTTTCTTTTTTCCTAAGGAGAGTCACACCAACACTCTCACTCACAAAGGGTTTCTTTCCGAGCTGGCAGTTCAGGCTTGAGCAATGCAGTCCCTGCTAACATCAGATGCAGCTCCACAGCTGAAAATCCCCTTTGGCATAGCTTAGAAATTTTAGGAAGAAATGCCATATTTCCTCAGCATATATGCAGCGTCGACATTCAGATGATTTCAGCCACTGCAGGATACCTCAGCAGCACAGTTCCCACCTCAGACAACGGGCTGCAAGTCAGATCTCATTGATTGGCTATGCAGCACGCACCACAAGGTTATGGGAAACTTAGTGCTGACCATCTGCCTTCCTCTGTGCAAAGAGCACCCAGTGACGGCAGCGCTTCGAAAGAGGCATCAGAGCAGGCACCAATAAATCACATTCTGCTGTATCTCCCACGAGGCAGAAGCTAACAGCTATTTGTTACACTGATGTGCAGTAGGGCACCTGGCTCCTGTGGCAGCAAAATAGAGAGTTTCAGAGGGAGCTGAGGAAATCACAGATGCTGAGTTGCTTTGAGGTCATTTTGCCCATCTCCTTCCCTCCGAAGGTGTCCTACGTGAGTGTTCTGCCTTTGATACTTTTATAGCATGTAGACACGTGTCTGCCACCGTGGCACTTGGAGAACAGACCCTTTTCTAACACAGCTCACATGCTGGCTTTCTCTAAAGCTCCTAGAGAAACAAAGGTTTGGACAGCTCTGACACATCAATGGTGACAAGCTCAGCAAGAAATAAAGGTGTGAAATATACTGTCACTCGTTCTATTTTGCAGATAGGGACTGAAGTACAGGAAAATGATGACCCAGGACGGGCACCATAACCTTTCCAGGAGCCCCAAGGGCAGACACACAGGAAAGCAGACACCACAAATAGAGCACTAATGATGCTTATTGGCTGTAGAACATTTTACATCCTTGTACTTCCAGATCAGCTGCAAAACAACATAGCTGTCTTCAGCAAGGTCATAGCACGACTGGAGCCTGAATTTCAGGTTCCCCGTGTGTCTTCATTTTCTTTCATTTTATTTATTTACATATTTTTATGTCTAATGTCTCTCTTCTTCCAGAAGGTAAAAAAGACCATGGTGATGGCAGACAATTCTTTTCAGATCTGAGCGTGTTTAAAAATGGTATAAAATTTAACTGACTTGCTAAGACATGCAATATTTGGCCCTTCAACAGGGCCAAGCAGTGGTCTTTGCTTCAGTGGAAGCTAATGGCTTTGCTCACTCCCTTCTATCTTTCTGGATAGCCTGAAGCTATTTGATAGGATTTTACAGGTTGAAAACAGCTGCTACTACTGAGCGAGGTATCTTTTATGAGTGTTAACACACGCACAGACCTCTTGTAAATTCAGCCTAGAGGGCACCAGCTATGGTCCCTTCCTACTAAATTGCAATGCGACCCTTTTCCCAGACTCCCATACCTGATCCTACATGATCTCTGCCCACTGTTGTGCCCATCCTGCGCAAAACATCTGCCTGAAGGACACTGACCTCCACCAGCTTCTCTCTTCCAGGGAAAAATGGGAGATATCAGGTATTTTTAAGTGGTGAAAACAGTGTCATTTCCTCTCACCACCCTGCTTAGTGGAGCCAGGCCTGGAAAAAGATTCAACATTTGTTCCAGATTCCCAGTGAGGAGGTGAGCAGTCCTCGCGCCCTGCTGCTGGGTCACTCCCATTCTCAGCACCTTCACAGTGCCTTGGGCAGCCAGGGCCTCACTGTACTTATTTGTTTCTGCTTTAACTGGTACCTCTAATCAGATGGAGTGATAGATAATTACCAAGCTGCTTTATAGCAGACATGATTCTTAAGGACACAATTTGTTGGTGGACTTGAGAGTGTTATGCTGACTCCAACGTAAATAAATCTGTGACTGTGATTCAGAGTAATGCTAGAATAGACCATGCAAGTTAAACTCTGTTTGACCTCGAAATCTAAAAAATACTCTACAGAAGGCAGCCAGAGTCATCTGCTGAAGCATACTGTGTGATAAACTTCCTAATGAGATCAGTGCAGCAGTTGCTTGCCATGATAGGGACATTCCTACTCCACCATAGGAAGTATTATGCCAGAACCCACTCAGGTAAGGATGACGTTGGTTACTGTAGTTCAACTAAGGTTTTCCAAGTAGAACAAAAACAAACAATAGAACACCAACAACATAAAGAAAAACACATAATCTGTCCTTTGAAATACGATTTAAGATATTGGGTTGCTTCTCTAAACTTACTGTAAAGCCTTGGAGGCAGTATTTTTGCCTTCACCAAATGGATATCTCTGTCTCTGCCCCTATTATGGTCATCTGTGCAGACCTTGTATGAGCTGATCTCAGTTGTAAAGCCACCGATTGCCACCAATTCCTGGAGCATTCCAGTGTAACCATTTTCCTGCTGTGAGCTGTGTCAGTGCTGTTGCACAACAACGTGACTGCTGCTGTGCTTGTCTCTGAGTGCTGCTCTTCCAAACAACTGCAGACACAGTGTTCAGAACCAGCCATCCCCAAAGGCAGCAGATGGGAGGAACTTCCACACCCCAGCTGAGTGGGGGCAGGAGTGCAGCGATGGCCAGGTTGGCTCAGCAAAAACAAAATGTAGTGGAATGATGATGAGAAGATATCCAGGAAACAATCCTGCAGGTCTCTATGACAGTATTTACAATCATTCAGAAACTGTGACATTCAGCTCATTAGTTAGTCAACCAGATTAATTCTGTAAGCATGGGGACGAGGCTGGCACATACAGAGGAGTACCCGCGCCATTCCAAGGTTTGAGTTGAAAACAAACTTTCCCTCTGCAGGTCTCTCTCCATTTCCTGTAGAGCTACAAGCTAAGAAGCCAGCTGTGGACAAAGCACCTTAACTGATCTGTACTGCCATCCCTGCCGTGGTTTTAGGAGCATGACATGTATCCAAATGACCACCAGGAATCCTGCACCTCTCTCTGATGGGTCTGGGCTTGTGCTCCTTTCTTTTACTGCTTTGGGTTTTCTAGCTTTCAGTCATCATTTGGAAAGAGACAAGAACAGGAGAA